TAGGGAAAGTCACCCGCCGAAACGGCGGCTGAGACGGAAGGGGGGCGTCTGGGCAGGATGCGTCATAGTTGTGGACAGTTTCGAATGCAGCGCTAAAGATGTATGTTTCTGACCCGATGGACACGTTGCACTTTGTAGGGATCACGGTTCCATGACGGAAACTTACAGAAAAAAAGAAGCCACCAGCTCCAAGGTGCCGAGTGAGTGCCATACGTGAGCTGGTGGCCCCAGTGACGACGGAAACAAAGGCGTTAAAAAGTTCCACCAGTCCACGGCCACGCCACCCCGAACGTGCCGATCCCGTCTGTTCTCGGAAGCTCAGCAGGGTCGGGCCTGGTTAGTACTTGGATGGGAGACCACCTAGGAAGACCAGGTGCTGTAGGCGTTTTAAAAAAAATGTTCCATAAGCCGACCTCCCACATCACCCCATTTGTGGTCAGACCGAGAACCCCACTTCCCGGTTCTCCATCAGCTGAGATCTCATGCTGTGTAGCCACTAAATCGCATCCGCTTACTCCAGACCTTGACTGTGGCAAACCTTGGTCTCCTGCCACACGCTTCCAGCAGACCAGGCGCATTCGATAGTGAAAGACAGTTCGTGGAGAGCAGAAACATGGCTGAGTCTACGGGAGACAGATTACCCCCCCGTCCTCAGAGGCTCTCTGCAGAACCCCTCGTGGGACGGCCTAGACTAATTCTGCGGGAGAAGCTGTATGCGCTGAAAAACCCATTTCACTTGGCAAGTGCTCAAGGCTCGTTACGACCAGTTCAAATAATACCAGAAGTAACGTGCACTCTGGGATTGTTAAATGACTTCTCTTACAGAGCCCTTGGGGGGTTTCGGGAACCCTTGAAGAATCTGGTGTTTAAGCAGACACGGTGTTTGGCGTTTTCGCCCGTGGCGGGACGGTGGTCCTCATGCCCCACCTCCCCGAGTCCCACTCCCTCCTGGGTCGGACATTGCTGCTTGACCACCACTGTCCTCCCCGCGGCCACGGGGTACCTGGACGATGCTGCGGGCAGCCGGGTCCCCCGGGTCGGAGCTTGCTCGGGAAGTAAAACCCGCTTTTCGTCCTGGGTTGAGTCTTGTTTGTTTCCGTTTCCTGTTTATGACACGCTGTTGGGTCAGAGGAAGTAGATTCCGTCTTGGAAGCGCATCGCTCGCTCTGGTGGGAACGAGCACTCGGAGGCTCCGGCTTCACTGCAGTGTTGACACAGGCATTTGGGCCGGGCGGACCTGGGGCACTTCGGACGGCGTGCGTCCTGTCGGAGAGGCACTGACGCCCTTGCTCAGTGAAGAACCAGCAGCACTTGCGAGAAATAAGATTCGCGGTGTTCTTTTCCGTATTTTGAAACGTCTTTCGGTAAAAACAGAGCCACCTGCATCTCTCCTCCTCTTTTGTAAGCCCGAGGCTCCTAATGGTCACAGGTTGACGCTCCGCCCGCAGACGCAGCAGCGATTAAATGCTGTGAATTGAGCGAAAGAGGTGAGCAAATTTGCAAGGGGGTCCCCGGGAAGATCGGAAAGCTCACGTCTCCAGCCTAACGCTCTTGCCCAGAGCTGTGATCCCGCTTCTTGTTCG